TCCCCATGAGGTATTTCCTTTCTGATCTTTTTTCTTCTCAATTTTGTGGGTCTTTTTTTGTTAAATTGATAGTACACTTTCACGGTTTTGTGTAGTTGTGGTTCTGTGCAAGTTGTATTGACAACAGTAAGGGTGTCTAATGATAGCGGCGTGCTGTGAGATTTGTCCCGTGGAATTGTCTCTGTTCTGATGAGTTGCTTTGACTTTTTGCAAGTTTTGTGTAAGAATTGGTAGTTGGGTATTTGCGGTACGTTGCAAGTTCCTCCATTTTGCAAGTGGCAGCATGTAATATTGTTTTTTTCCAGGATTTGTGCTGTGGTAGCTGGCGCAGCACGTTGTAGCAGGGGGTAGTGGTTTTGGCAATTTGCAGGTTTTGTGGTAGTAAGTTGCAACAGCTTGAGGCGTGGTTTGATATTGCAGTTTTCTAACATGATAGCTTGAACATTTTTCATGCTACTTTCCTTTTTGCCAATTAGACCAAAATAAATAAATAAATTGGTGTCGTTTGGTAGGCCCATTTGAATTTCTTGATAAATCATGGGTCTTTATTACTAAAATAAAATTTAGAACTTTTTTGTAATAAAAGAACCTTAGGACAATGACATGAATTGAAAAATAAATAAATTGTAATTTGATGTAAAAAATGAAATTAATACATATTTTGAATCTAAAATTAAATTTTGGAATAAATTAAAAATGTAATTTGAAATGATGAAGTCTACTTGGAAGGAAATGGTAACTTGAATGGAATGAACTAGAAAGGAAAATTGAAAGAAACTAAACTTGAATGAATTTAAATTTTTTTTTAAAAAATAAATAAATAATAATAATAAACTTGATTTTTTTTTTGAATGGGGTAGAATCAAAATTAAAATGGAATTGATTTTGAATTAGAAACTCAAAATGTTTGAATTTAATTGAAATGGAACTGAAACTTGAGTTGAAAATGTGATGAAGGCTAAGTGGAAATTGCACAGGTTTAGGAAACTTGTCATTGGATGTAGTCTTGAATGATTTTGTACTGAATAGGACGTTTGCAATCTCTTACCATGAACGACATAATATGGACTTGTAAAATTTGACCAAACTTATTGACTTCGGATAGCTGTGTAGATTAACTTTATCAGATAAACATGAACTTTGCATAAACCCTGACCTAGACCCTCAAATACAAGTACTTGTATCCAATCCACACTTGTCCTCAAAGTAACCCATGACACAGATGATTTGAGATATGAATTGTGTCGCTACTGCACCGAAACCCTAATTGAAAGTGATATTGCCTTGATTATCATCCATCTTGAAACAATTGCCTTTGTCACAACCCGATAACTCGATACTGAAGCCAATCATTTTCTTGACCAAGATTAGGTCAAACTTCCACAGGATATCAACCAAGACCGTACGCACACCTAACTTGATAACTTTGCCTGACCCTTGATTCAAATAGAAAGCGGTTCAAGGTCAAAATTAGGGTGTAACAGATGTGATTATTTGATTTTAATAATGACAACTCTCAATTGTTAAAGATAATACAATCGGTTAAAGACGTACAAGATGGTTGATCAAGCTATTATGATGAGTCAAGCTAAATAAGTAAGGTTTATGATCATAAGAGACACCTTAACAACTATCTGATGTTGGTAACTAACTTGAAGACATATCAAGCCTCATCCATAAGAAGATTCAAGTGAAGTGAATATATGATTAGTACACCCGAAAAAATACTTGAAACTTTTGAGTGTGAAAGCTCATTTGATCATGTATGTCTGAGTGATTAGAGTATTGTAACACACATACATAGTAACAAACACATACGCACACACATACAAGTACATACACACACAAACTATTTTTGAAGCCTCCTTTTTTCATTTAAAATCACCAAACATATTTTTGGAGCCTAGACGGTTGAATTGGAAAATGCTAAATTGATTGGGACATGTTTTTGAAATGTCTAATTAATTAGAGAAAAAATACCTAATCGATTAGATAAGGGGGAGTCAAGTTCATAATCGATTATAACAGTCTTAAAGATTGATTATGACTATCTATCAAAACCTTCCATATTAGGCACAAATAATCAGTTATTTGAAGTACCTGATCGATTAGACTTAGGACCTAATCGATTAGGTGAGTTAATTGGCCTTTGGATTATTTCCTAATTTAAACTATTTCTTGGCCTATAAATAGATAGGCTCTCTACCATTTCAAATCATCTAGAAAACGTGAAATATCTCACTTTTCCTCTTTCTCTCAATATCTCTAAATAATTTTCTTTTCTCTCACTTTTTAGCCATAATGCTTTAAGAGCGCTCTTGAGTTTAGTGAGGAAATTTTTTTAGGTGAGGATCTTATTGTAAATTTACCAAGAGAAATATTTTCTCTTGAGTAAATCATTCTTCCTTAGGAAGTAGTTATTTTGGTTTGGAGCTAAACTAGTGTAAAAGCTCTTTTGAGGATTAGTATAAGTTTTTTTTTTGATTTGCGAGCTTTTCCATTCAAGAAAATCTCTCTTTTGGGTTGGTGGAGAATAAGCAGAGACAAATCTTCACAACTGTTCTTGAGCTCAGTCCGGTCAAAATATCTATCGGTTCGATATTAGCCTAGTATAAAATCTCACTCGATTTTTGAGTTCAGCCTATATAATACTCAGTAAGTTTGAGATCAACCAAGTAAAAATCTCGGTTCAGTTTGTGGTCAACCCGTATAAAACCTCAGTTCGGTTTGGAGGATAGCCAACTCAAAATTCCATCTTGGTTCGATATCAGCTTGTGAAAAATCTCAGTTTGGCTTAGAGACTAATTACTTGAAGCTCTGTTTGTTGTTTGGCTTAAAGACTAACCACTTCATTCCTAAGTTCGTTGTTTAGTTGGAAGTTAGTTGGAAACTCCATTTCCTTGTATAAGGGAGTTCATGGGTTTATCCTTCTAAAAGCTCTCAAGTATTATTTAATACTCTCAAGATCACTTATTGGAGAGAGTAGCAAATTACTTCTTTAAGACCGAACTTATATATATTCATATTGTTATCTCTCTTTCCTTAAATCTTTTATTTTCTGCTTAACTTTTGCTGCATATTCAATCTTTTTTTTTTTTAAAAATGTTTTCAAAATCTATTTTAAAAGATAATTATGTTTTAATATATTAATTTTCAAACCTCCACAATTCACTCATCTCATTGTGTATGAAGTCACATGTTCAACATATAGAAGTAGAAGTATTCATCCTTCATCCTCTAAGGTCGCTACATGCAGCTTTTCTTGTATGATAAGCACAAATCTAGTATCACGTCAACCTTATTCCTAATATTGGACAACTCTAGATCTAATCGAAAAACTTATACCTAATCATCTTCAAGACAAACTCAATCGGTGTTCATAGCCTCTTTGCAAAAGGAGTTCTGATTAGAGGTTATAAGTGTCATGGCAGATCTAGTCGAACCTGAGGAAGAAGACACTAAGTCACATTCACCATTATCAGGCGATCCACTCCCCAAATCACCACTAGATGAACTCTTGTAACTACCGAACAACTCCATCTATACAAACTTCCAATTCATTTTCCCTGTACCCCTTTTCTATGAGTCCATAACTCACATCTCTTATTATTATTTTTGGACTCTATGACTCTTTCAGATGAATCACACTTTTGAATAAACAACATGAAGAAAGATATAAAAAAAATACAAGGGAAATAGAAGGTTACTTGATGTTGTGAGCGATTGCTGGAGATGCAAGACAAAGAAGGGAGAAAAATGCAAGAGAACTTGCTGCAAAAATACGGGAGGAAGAAAAAGGTGATGAAAATGAAAAACTATGTAGCCCATTTATAGGAGTGAGTGGTGAGACAAATGAACGAATGCAACTATCAATATCCTCATAGGGCGATGGGAGGTAAGGATGTGTCACGAGTTACTAAGGCATTTGACAATCATCATTACTAGTGAAGATGAATAGTTAGACAACCAACATTACCCGGTTATAGTCAAAGGCTACCACGTCTGAAAAAATAAGAGCTTGCTCGCTCGAGAAAGATCGTACATTTGAGGCGCGTCAGACAATCGTTAACAAGTCAATACACATGGAATATCTGGATTAAAGACACTAGAACAAAAATATTTATGCTTGATTGAGGGCATTACGATCCGAGATTGGGCAATCAAATTGAATTTCCAATGATCGTTAAAAGATCACCCTAATTATAGACAATCACCTTAAATGGTTACTAACGAACCTCGAGTAAAGAACATATCAAAACTTTTATATAAGAAACTAATCACAAAAGAAAAAGGATATACACAGTTTCAGAGAGTATTCAACTGATAAGAGACAATTGTGACTTTATCAATCCTTATTGGTAGAATTATCATTTATGTATTTTTACGAGTATATAAAGACCTTTACCTTCGCATATCGCCGTCAATATCTTTACTATTATACTCACTATAGTTACATGAATTTTCATGATCATAACTGAACAGTTCCAATGTTAGACAGACTCTCATGATCGAGATTAGTAGGCAAAAAGATCGGCGTCAATCATACACAAAACAGAGTCATAAATATCAAACTCAATACTTAGCTCAAAATATCACTTATTCATATACACAAACCAGAGTCGTAAATATCAAACTCAATACTTAGCTCAAAATATCACTTATTCATATGTTGAGTGAATTCAAATTGCAATCAATTTCATTGGATTGAAGGCATGTCGGCTAATTGGCACATGGAAAATTATTAAAAAGAAAAAAGAAAAAAGGGTATGAAAAGAAGTTGCTGTAATCTTATACTAAAAAAAGAAAATCTACAATCCACTCGTATAAATTACAACCAGAGTAATACATATTAATATACAATCTGGCCATTAAGTTTAACTAATAATTAGTATTAGTCTTATAATACTAGAAGTAATTAAGAATAAGATACTCAAAGGCGATCTAATAATAACTGCGCCTTAAGATACAAATATCAATTCAACTCAGTCTGGGTCAACTCGCTACCAGCACTGGTCCGTTTCCCAGTTCCGAACTCTGTAGCCAGAAAATCTACTCGCCGTCAGTGGCTGCGGACGCCGGAACAAACTTCTATCATAGCTCGCACGCTTCTCAGGATCTGACAGAGTCGAGTACGCAGCATGAATCTTCATAAACTCATCCGCCGATGAATTCTTCCGGTTAACCACCGCGACATCAGGGTGAGAAACTCTCGCGAGTCGCCGGTACGCTGCCTTAATCTCCTGATCGGAAGCGACTGCCGCAATTCCAAGAATCTCGTAAAGCGAGCCGGAAGCCATGCCGCGTGGAAGCTGAGTAGAGATAGGTTCGGTTGTAGTGGCGGTGGCAGAAACGGATATTCTTCGCGGTCTGACGTGGCAGGGTTTTGATGAGATGGTCTTGCCGGAGAAAGTGGCGGAAGAGCTGAGAGGTGAAGGAAAGGATACTGAGAGCATGATAGGATGGAACACGACGTTGTTGTGATAAGTTAAAGAAGATTGAGGATCAGGTTTTCATATATAGAAATGATGAGCGGCAGTGTATTGGGTCCCAAAATAACTGTCTAGAGACAATCTTATCCAAATAGCGTTGGATTTTTATCGTTGCTGACTCACATCCTGTGGCTTATTGTACTGTCATAGTTCAAATGGTTGGAGATTTTTGATCTCATCTCTTTACTATAAATACACTTCACCCACTTGCCATAATTTTTATATATTCAACGGAGTGGATTCACTAACTTTGGGGTATGGACACTTCCTTTTAATTAGTTTGGCCCAAACTTCAGAATAGTTCAGTTTGAATTTGGTAAAAAAACTGTTTCGAATGATAACTTTATGGATTTAGTTTGGTTTAATTTTTAGTGTTTTTTAAAATAGAGTCAAATCAAATTAATCGGTTTATTTTGATTTAGTTTGGTTTTGTTGATCGTATAATATTTTTTTTAAACATTATATTTATTTGGATATTATTTGATATCATGTTTTTTGATGTATTTATGTTTTTTTTAAATAATACATTTTATTAATATATTTCATGTTCTATTTTTCAAACAATTTACAAATTGTTCTTAATCTATACGAGGCATTGGAATTGTTCTTACTAAAAATATTAAAAGATTGACTTACTTGTTATTATATGGGGAGAGCCTTAAATGATTGGTTAGTGCGTTTGTGATTGGTATAGTAGAGATGTTAAGAAGTTTTCTAGACCCATTAGGGAGAGAAAATAATAAGTGTTATTAAAAGACTTTATTATAGACTAGGGGTGTTTTTAGCAATTTAATGTTTTCCTTATTATTAGTCTTGTTTTAGTTTGGCTCATGACCCATTTTAGTTTGAGTGAACCCTAGTCATATATATTGTAACTTTGCTATTTGAATGGATTGTGCAGAAAGTTGTTTTATTATTGTTCTCATTTGGAACATAGATCTAAATTTAACCTAGCTTAATCTATTATTGGTGCTTTCATTCTTTGTATTCATGGCTCCCACTAAACCCCTTAACCCTTCTTCTAGAGAAATTGTAGAAGAAGTTGTTCAAACTGCACACATCCACCTAGACAATGCAATGAACCAAACTCAACAGCAAATGAATGAGAGGTTTGATAAAGCTACTACAAAATTAGAACATCATGTTGGTCAGATTCATACCAGATTAAACAATGATAAATAAATTTCAGATTCCATATTTGAATCTATCATGTCTATTCTTAATAAAATTGCTACACAAAGAGAACAACAACCACATACTACTGTTCACACTGCAGCAAGCTATTCAGGTATAACACAAATTTCCCATCTATTTCCTTAGTTATAGCACCTGCTACCCAGATTATCACCCATACACACACCCCCTGAGAAACTCTGCCACTTTTTCTCACCTCCCACCCCCAACTCACCCCCACGATTCACTACTGCACAACCCTCACCCCCTTTTCCACCCTACCTTTCTTCTCCAACTGCTTTTCAATCAACACAAAATTATAATATTTCTTTTTATCACCAGATTCCTTACTCCCCAATTCCACAAATTCCCCCATTACCCCCTTTTCAAACCCCCAAACTTGAACTTGCTATATTTGATGGTTCAAACCCATTAAAATGGCTCTTTCAAGCAAATCAATTTTTTAATTTTTACAATTCGCCACCATAAAATTGATTGTTTTTTATTTCCTTTTATATGAAATGAGATGCTTTGTGTTGGTTTAAGTGGATGTATCATAATCAATTGTTAACTAATTTGGCCTCTTTTACAAAGGCATTAGAATTAAGATTTGGTCCTTCAACTTATGATAACCATCAAGCTGAATTATTTAAATTAAAATAAGATGAGACTGTAGCGGATTACCAAACTCGATTTAAGAAGTTAGGTAACCAGGTTTTTAGCTTACCTCAAGATGCAATTCTGAATTGTTTTATTTCTGGTCTGAATTCATAAATTAGGAATGAAATGGTTATCCATCGGCCTACCTCCATTTACTAAGCTATTGGTCTTGCTAAAATCATAGAATCCAAACTCAAAGATTCAAAATCCAAATTCTCTAAACCCTTCACTATCCATCCCCAAAAGGCTAATCCTATCTCCCTAATCCCACACCTATTTCAACCTCCACCTCAACCCCAATCACACGGGATACTTCCCTCCAAACCCCAACCAACACCTCCCCCAAACAAACTACCCATTAAACGACTATCCCAAGCCCAATTGAAAGAAAGAATGGCTCAAGAATTATGTTTTAATTGTGAAGAAAAATTTATTCCGGGTCATAAATGCTCAACTAGCAGGTTTTTAATACTCTTGGCAGAGGAAGATTCTAAGGAGGATGATAATATTGTTAATAACAGCCCTATACCTGAAGTTGAGCAAAATATTGAGGATACATGTTTTCAGCTCTCTACACAGGCTATGACAAGTCAACTTTCACCACAAACCTTGAAGTTTAAGGGATTTATTGGTGAATTATTTGTTATGGTTCTAGTTGATACTGGCAGTACACATAACATCGTGCAACCTCGAATTGCACATCACCTAAACCTTTAAACTACCCCAATTTCTCAATTTTCTGTTATGGTGGGAAATGGCCCCCATTTACAATGCGAAGGAATATGCAACAATGTGTAACTTGTTCTCCAAGATAAACCCTTCACTCTTCCCTTTTACTTACTTCCAATAGAGGGTGTCGATGTCATTCTTTGCATGGCTTGGTTACTCACTTTAGGTCCTATTCAAGCAGATTTCTCCATCCCATCTATCACTTTTACCCATCTAGACAATCATATTACCTTAAAAGATGCCCCATCTTCCCACCCTATTCATACCATATTTCACCAACTACAACATCTAATCCATACTAACTCAATTTCATCATTTCATTTAATGATCATGCAACCACTTGATCTTTCCCCAAACCCAATTGAACTAAGTTTTTCTCCTTTGAACACTTTACCACCTAACCTTCACCAAAATATTTCTGACTTTATTCAAGATTACTATTCAATTTTTTAATCACCCACTGGTCTCCCACTTACCAGACCTTATGATCATCATATTCCATTTTTACCAAATACACCCCCTATCAATCTAAAGTCATACAGTTACCCACATTCATAAAAAGATGTTATGTCCTTCATCGTTCAAGAAATATTACAAGAGGGGACCATCATCCCTAGTAATAGCCTTTTTTCCTCACCCGTGCTACTTGTAAAAAAAAGATGGAACATGGTGATTTTGTGTTGATTACAGAGCAATTAATAGCTCTTTATGCATCATGTTGTGGAAAAGAGTTGTCATGGCCCTTTGGTAAGTTGCACATGCATTCTTTAGACCGAAAGGCATTACTTTGTAGCAAAATGTTCCCCATGGCATAATAAGTAAGGTTTTTTCCATATCTTTAGGCGCCATCCTGATTTGATTATAGCCTGAGAAACCATCCATGAAAGAAAAGACTTTGAATTTAGCATTGCTATCGACCAACATGTCAATATATGGTAACAGGATGTCACCTTTAGGACTAGCTTTGTTTAAATCCCTGTAGTCTTCACACATTCTGACTTTACCATATTTCTTGAGGACTGGCACTATATTGGCTAACCATTGAGGGTACTCAGTCGTGGCAATGAAGCCTGCATTACTTTGCTTCTGAACTTCTTCTTTAATTTTGATGGTCATATCTGGGCGAGTTCTTCTCAACTTTTGTTTGATTGGTGGACATTCCGGTTTTAACGGAAAATGATGTTCCATAATATAAGTATCCAACTCTGGCATATCCTGGTAAGACCAAGCAAACATATATGGGTATTCTTTGAGAAGTCTTATCATACTTTCTTTGACTGCTGGAGTAAGCAATGCTCCAATTTTGACTTCCTTTTTATCTTCTTCTAAACCCAAATTGATTACTTCTATCGGTTCTTTGTAAGGCTGAATGGTTTCTTCCTCGTGCTTGAGTAACCGAGAGATCTCATCCAGAATCTCTTCATCCTCTTCCTCTTTAGCTTCGAACACTAGGGACTCAAAGTTTAGAGAAAGCGTAGGATCATGTTTTTCAATGGGGTTTTCTATGATTAATATGCATATATGATTGATGCTGGATTTTAGAAAACAGGTAAAATGCAGAGTGTGTGTAGATTATTGAAAATGTGTTTTATCATTTTTATTTTTATTTTTTAGGTTTACCATTTTTCGAAAAAAAGAAAAAAGTAAAACAACAGTATGGAATTAAAAACAACATCTTTATTTAGATTAATCAATTCTTGAAACAAAAGCCCGATAAATAAACTCCTTTGCCTTGGGCAGAGAAAAGAGGAAACATTTTTTTTAAAAGGGGGTCCCAAAAAATATTTCTCGCCTTGGGCAGAACGAGACGACACAACAGTTGATAGAAAATTACTTAGATATGTGAACAATAGTCGAAATATCAACATCTATCGAATTTTGACAAACTCCTCCATGCTTCACAAAGTCTTGTGAGTCCTTCTCAGGATCATCTTCAAGGATGACACTGACTTCTGGTGGAGTAGAGACTTGTTCTTCAACTGTATCGCTGTCCGACCACGAGGTGTACTTGAGTTTCTTGAGAGGAGAGTCAAAAGGCCCATATGTATCCTCTTGTGATATGTATCTAGGATCCTCAAGGTAAGAATTCTAGTCTTCATCAGGCATAGATGAATCATATTCAAAGTTATCCTCCATAATAGTATCAGCTTCTGGCGTAATAGAAGGAGCATAACATTTCTCAGTACCATGATCTGCCTCAATCATCTTGTCATCTGATTCAGTCATATACTTAAATTTATCTTGAGGAAAGGAAAATGGTTCATATGCATCCTCTTGCAATATGTATTCAGGGTCGTCCATGTAAGGTTCTCATCTCTCTGCAGGAATAGATGAATCATCTTCAAAATTATCTTCCATAATAGCATCAACTTCTGGCGAAGTAGGGTTGACGAAACCTCCAC